AATGTACTTTTAACAGTTATCACTATTAATTGTAAAGTTATATTACACAATTTTGTAAGTTACAGTGTAATTTATATATAACGTAATTTATGTAAGGCCATGCCAATTTAATTCTTTGCATAACATGCCCTCCTATTTTTAGGAAAGAATCAACTTGAAGTGGCCTAATTTTCTATTCTAATTCCAGGACCCATAATTCATATAATTTAAGATTTACTGAACACATAATTTTGCAATACTGACACTCTAATCAGGGTTGCTGAAATGGTTACCGGTAAGTTATATCATAAGTCACTGGTGAAAGCAATCCCTTAAAACCCTGAAGAAATTAGAGAAATAAAGTTAAAAGTATAAGGATAATAATAAATGATAAAATAAAAAGAGATACTTATCAATTCGAAGATATAAGAAATGATAGTTAATTTCTTGTACGTAAGTATAGATCGCCTGTGACACCTTTGTTCAACAATGGATTAATTTTATATTGAATATAATTAAGGTAGGAGGTCTATCACTATGACTAATCTATATTTATTAAACATGATAGAATAGCTTCTATTTTATATTATCAAATAGTTAAAAATAATTGCTATTGACTATTTCACTATGAAGCTTCTCCTTCATCATCTTCATCGTCTTTATTCTCCTCTTCATCGACTTCATTCTCCTCTTCATCGACTTCACCCTCGCTTTCGACTTCATCCTCTTCATCGACTTCATTCTCCTCTTCTACAGTCTCAGTTTCGTATTTGGCCAATATCCATTTTGGCGCATTTATTGGTGGCTTGTCCTCCGATGCAAACCCTGGTCCATGACTTCTTATTCGAAATGGCTTTACTTTCACCATTTCATCGTTAATTTTATCCATATAGTTTCTTAACAACTCTTTCAGCTTTAAAAATAAAATAATTTAAATTAATCTTTATATATATATGCACATTTTATGTACGATTTCTATAATTTCACCATATATCTTAGTACCAACTACTAATGCTAATAACAAAATGCACCCGAACTTTTTATAAAATTAATATATTTTATACATTCTACAGTTCTTCAGTAACATAAATATATATTGTCAGCTATGTGATATTACATAAAAATATGACCCTTGAAGTTTGTACAAATTCATCTTGTAGTCGATAATAAAGATACATATAGAGATATAAGAATTATGAATTTAACTTACAGCTTGTGATTGCCACTTCAAGTTATAAACTACGATCTTTCTTTTTACCGATTCTTCATCCGTTTCCGAGATTTCTGGAGAATGGTAATGATTACTTGTCTGTAACTTCATTAAGCCTTTTTTTGCTATCTTTCTTATTAATTTATCATTTACTTCAGATAAATGATCTATCGTTTTTGCCCTTCGTTTTCTTTTCTATTATTAAAAAAAAAAATTCTTAATATATATGTAATAGCTAAATTAACAATATGATATTTTATATACAGAATCTACATGTCCATTATTATGCTTCCTTCTTTTATATTTGTCCACCACTATTGCCAGTTTTTGTTCTGTGATGAATTCATCCCTTTGGTGTCGATGAAGTTGATGTAGTATTTTATAAATTACGCTATCGACTACTGGAAATGTTGTCTTATCCAAAGCATTTGTAATTCTTAGAAGTATTGAGATTTTAACAAGGTTGCATTGATCCTCAAAGGTCTCTTGAAGTTTTAGTTGATACTCAGGTCGTAACCTTGATGTAATTAAGTTGATTTCTCTCTAAATTTCACATTCAATTATGAAAGGTAAAAAAAAAATCAGAACTTGGTGATGAATCCCAAAAAACTAAACTATTGAAACTTAGATGAAAAACAAAAAAAAGAACTAACTATTGGTGAACCCCAATTATGAAGGTTTTTTTAAAAAAAAAAAAAAAAAAAAAACTAAACTATCAGAATGTGGTGACGAAGGTGTGCCACTACCGCAGTATATACCATTCGTAATCCTCACAAACCAAATGGCTTTTCAGCAGTAGTACACATTCAATCACAAAGAACTAAAAAAAAAGAAAAAAACTAAAAAAAAAAAAAAAAAAAAAAGAACTAAAAAAAAAACTAAACCTAAACTAACTAAACTTAATGAACCCCAAGGTCAGGTGTGTCACTGCCGCAGTATCTACTATTCGTAATTCTCACAAACCAAATGGCTTTTCAGCAGTAGTACACGAAAAAAAAAAACTAAAAAAAAACAGAACTAAAAAAAAAGAACTAAAAAGAACTAAAAAAAAAAGAACTAAACTAACTAAACTATTGATGAACCCGTGTGCCACTGCCATAGTATATACTATTCGTAATCCTCACAAACCAAATGCAGTAGCACACGAAAATAAAATAAATAAAACTAAACTATCGTAATTCTTACTAACCAAATAAAAAGAAAAAAAAAACTAATCTATCGAGAATTTTTCTAAGATTGAATACCCAGGTTCTTAGAAATCAGTTTTCAACTTACACGTAGTGCCTTTAAAAGTTCATGTGGCACTTCTTTAATAGATATGTATTTTTTGACTTTGGTTTACCTTCCTCTTCTGATAGCTCTCCTGACATTTCTTCATCCTCTATTAAATTATTTCGCTGTCGTTTAATATTTTTTACAGTTGAATTATCATCTTTTCTTTTGTGTAAAGCAGATCTTTCGCTATTGTCCTTAAATTTTCTTTTTTTATTATTTTCTCTGTTGTCTTTGCTCCTATACTTTCTTTTCTTTACAATTTTTTTTTACTTCTTTTTTTGTCTTCACTACTTTCACTTTTACTACTTTTATCCCCACTTTCGTAATTGCTTTCCCTCTCATCATATTTACTTCTAGTTTCATTTTTATGTCTTAATTTTTGAGTTTTAGAAGGTTTTTGAGTTTTAGAAGATTTTTGCGGTTTAGAAGATTTTTGCGGTTTAGAAGATTGAGGTTTAAAAGATTTTCTAGCCATTTCTAAGATAATGCAAGTGTGGTGTAAGAAACGATGATGGGCGGATTAGACTTTGAAAAGAAAGAAAAAGTTAAACTTTGATTTGAATCATAAATTGGCGATATATGACCCTTTTTATATTTTAATCTTAGAAGAATAACATAATTTTTCAATTGATTTGGAAAATAGAATTATTATTGTATTTGTTCGTTTAGAAGACAAACCTATCACGTAAAATAATAACATACAGGGTTGATAGATTAAGAACTCACTGAAGGTGAATATGATTGTATTAAAATTTATGCTTAATTAATCAAATATATTTAGTAAGCTATTTCGATAATTTCGAGTTCACTGTCTATAAGCGCTTTCAATCGGTCCTTTCACTGAGTAGTTGTCTCATTGTTATAGGGTCATACTAGACAATTATCATGTAAGTTTGACCGTTAGGACTTAACTCAATTATGATTTTATTATTAGATTTCCTTTTTTTGCTTGCATCACTAATTTTTGATTCCCATTCAGGGCAGAAAATACTTATTCATTTTACGGCCATCTAAAAATATCAGACAATTCGATCCTTCTCCTGAGTAATTTTATCTGACCATTGTTAATGGAGTATCTATGGATAGTTTATGATTTGCTTCACCTATTTATCTCCCAGCATGCGGCCTATTGTTTTAAGTGTCTTTTTGGTAAGTATCAGAGCCAGTGGTCGTTAGAAGCAAAACTAGCTAGCAAAATTAGCTAGTAAATTTTGCAAATTTAGCAAAATAGCTTATTACAAAATTTATATTTGTCAATTATAAATTTTAATGTAGTCGTATGTTCTTCGATGAGTTCTTAATCTATCATCATTTACAACATGCATATAATTGCACGTTTATATAAATCAGTTTAAGAACAAAAGGAATAGTCGCATGCTTAGCAAATTTCGCATCTTAGCACAAACAATGTTGCTAGCTATTTTGCTAAAAAATAGCGCTATTTTAGATGCTACTAAAATCCACTGGCTCTGGTAAGTATTAAATCAAAGTCTAACCAGAGCCGGTGGTCGTTAGAAGCGAAACGAAATTAGCAGAATAGTTATTACAAAATTTATGTTTGTCAAATATAAATTTTAATGTAATCGTATATTCTTTCAATGAGTTCTTGATCTACCATTTTAGTAAGTTCTCCAGTCATCGTTTGAAACATGCGTACATATAATTACTCATTTATATAAATCAGTTTAAGAGCAAATCCACTGTTTCAAGTGACTTTTTTGATAATTAGAATAATGATTTTATATTATATGAATCAAGAACGATATTTTTGAATAGCTGGAAAAATGAAATTTTCTGAAGTCGACATTTAGTCGATCGTGTATCATTGTTATTTTATGCATTAATCTCTAGTATGCAGTATAGTAATACAGTATTTATCGTTATTATCGATTTAGCAAGTTTTTATTCTAATGTCCAATATGAGTTATTCGATATACCCAAATTCTTTTTTCTTAATCGATAGTGCTTTTTTATCTGGTGTAAAG